ATGGAAGGTATCATCCACACTGTACCTGGCTCTCGTGTGGTCAATTCTGATATACTGTGTCCAGTTTGGGGCTTCCCAGTTCATGGGAAAACCACGCTGAAAACCATGAAAGGGCTGAACAGATGGCTACCAAGGTGGCTAAGGGCATACTATCTACAAGGAGAGGTTAAGAGCAGCTGGGCTTGTTTAGTCTGGCAATGAAGACAGTAAAAGGCCATCTGACATCAGCCTACTAATGTGACTAAGCCTATCCTCTTACGTGAAAGGAAGCTGCAAAGATGGTGAGCCAGGTTCTACCACATAATAGCACATGCTATAACACAGGAGAACACAGGCAAATTATGGCTTGGGAGCTTCAGTTTGGAGATGAGGAAGAACTTTCTTACTAGGAGGGCAATACTGCACGAGAAAAGTTTGGAGAGATCGCGGAATCTCTGTACTTGTAGGTTTTTCAAGGTCAGGCTAGACAAAGACACAGGTGACCCGATCCAACGATAGTAACAGACCCGCTCCAAGCAGAACGATGGACTAGCTGACCTCCACAAGCCTCTTCCAAAAAACATGCCTGTGATTCCAAGCAGTTGGGATGGAGAGTCAAAACAAAACACAGGCTTCAGTGGAAGATTCAGGACAGACATGGGTCAAGTTTAGGATGGGGAAGAAAAGTGCCTGTACTTACAAACCCTTACTTTGCACAAAATGCAGATAGGAACTCAAGATTCCTGGGTCTCACTACTGCTTTGCTGTCATTTTGTACTTGGTAAACCCACTTGCAAGATGCATCTCATTCCCTTCTAGTGCTGATCCACGCAGATAACAACAATTTTCTGCTTTTCCTTCACAGTCATTTTGCTAGGACAAGTGGTAGAGGTTTGTCTGCTGGTGCTAAAGACACCAAACCTGCAAAGATACCTGTGGGTACTAATATGACATCAGAAGATTGTATTTGCTGTCCTACTCTACACTGCAGAATTCTATGATGTTGCACAGAAAAACATATTCAACTTAACTAATAATACATATATTTTCCCCATAGGCAGTCACTAATTCTGCGATTCCCCACCTCCCAGGTACCTCAGACCCTGAGTCATGATTTCATGGGAATGAACAATTACAACCAAGCACTGAACAAATGAAACTGCATATAACTGAATACACTGAAAAACAAGTCCCAGGCAGTTCAAATTCTGCACTCAAATTTGGTGACTATTCTTGACCTTGATCTCATAGTTCCCACTTTCCCATCTGTTAATAAAATTAGTAATTGATCTCACTAGTGAGAGACCAAAAAAATGTGAATATGCGTTCATAAAAACCTGAAGATATTTAGAATCTTTCAGATAATATAAATATTTGGAGAAAGATTCAGAGACAATTCAGCACACCAAACATGGAAAACAAAATATTTGATATGTTCACATTACGTAGTATCCAATTCCTGCACTGAATGAGGCAGCATTTTTTCCACAGGGTTATTTTTTTAGATTTTCTGTGTTGCTTTCATATATTAAAGGAATTACTGCAATACCCACCCAGACACATACAGCTTCAAAAATGCAGGTTTACAAAACAGAGCAATCAGTAACTAGAAAATATTATAGTTAAAATTATACAAACATGTAGGCTAGAAATTTCTAATAGGTATTTTTCTATGATACGGAGATGAAGGTCTCCTAAACACAAGGAAGAAAACACAAACAGCAAAGTTACTTCTTCATACAAAAAAAGAAGGAAGATGACAACTACTGTACCTTTTTCATAGACTAATAGCATACCACAGAAGATAACCACAGAAGACATCCCATTTGTGATGTACAGTTTCTGGATGAAGCTCAATCAGTAAGTACAGATACAGTAACTCCTTTTTTTTTTTCTTTTGTATGCATGAGAAACCTATTTTCACTTAATACAGATAGTTTCTGTCCTCTATGTCAACTTAGGTGCTTTTTAAACTAGGACAAAAAAAAAACCCAAGTGAAAATCCAAGTTGGAGGCGGTAACTGCTTTTCACCCTGTCAGACTTCAACAAGTATATTTTTAAGGGAAAATAATACTTTTCTTGTGTGCTGTTCATAAACAGAGGACTTGACAGGCCATAGTATGAAAAAAAGGGAATGAGATTATGTTTAGTTTTATCAACACACTGAAAATAAATCCAGTATTTTCCAACTAACAATATTCTTCTACTGGTCTTTGAATTCAGATTTTTGAATAGGTACAAAAAAGTACTTCCCGTTCAGTCAAATTAATGCTGTTAGATTTGACAGAAGATTTTTTTAAATGAAGGAATTTAAGAATAAAAAAAGAGGCAGACCATCACACACTAGTTCACGTGAAAGTTTCAGAATAAAAGATTGTACAATTTAATTGATACATTTTAAATTTAAGACAAAACAGCTCCTGTCCATCAAAACTCTGAGGCAAAAAACCCAAGCAAACCTTTTTAATATTTACTGTCATTTTTTCCTCATTAAGTAAAAATTACTGCATTTTAATAGCCTAATTTACAAATACCAAAGTTTGCCAAGTGCTTACAGATTATTTTTTTTTTAATTTTAAAAAATTTCTATTTGAATAAGCTTCTCAAGCTTTAAGTCTTTACTTACCGAGAAAGTGTTGATTTCCCTGAACCAGGTAGGCCTCTTAAGATGACAAGCAATTTCTGTGAACAACCGAATCCTTCTTCAGGTAACTGCATGGAAGAAAAGCTGTGCGTTCCTGCTGTATTGTCAGCTTTTGGATCCTTCCAACACTCTTCTCTGGTTTCACAGAAACCATTATTTTGGAGTCCATTCTGGTCATTATTTCCATTTCTGAAGACCTGAGTAGTATGGACATCAATATGACCAGCATAATTAGTACTGTGATCAAGCAATGGACTATGACTGTTGATATCAGTATTTCCATGGTAACCATGATAATTTTTGTAAGAAAGTTCACCATTCTGAGAAGGGAGAGCATTTGGTTTTTGTGGTGGGGAATTAAGTATCTGAAAATGTGATTGATGGTTGAATCTAGGAGGAAGAGGTCCCTGAGGTACTACGAAAGACTCTGTTGACTGCCAAGCAGGTCTGAATTCAGGCACTGAGTAGTTCCAATACTTAGAAGCTACTTGTCCATTAAAGGTATTTTCAGTTTTCCAGCCACTTGTTTCCATGACAAACTGCTGCTCATTGCTTGTTTTCTGACTGTTCTGTTCCCCAAAGAAACATTGTCCATTCTCATGAAATGGTTGTGAGCTGCCCAACAATACACGTTGATAATCCTCTTGTGAGGTCTGACTGCAGTTATATGGAGAGTATTGTTCCTGAGAAGTTTCAGTTTCTTTTTCCTGAAAATTAACATCTAAATTTTCATTTTCCAGCTGATGAATTTCTTTATAGAACTGGTCCAGTTCATCATCTATTTCTGGTACAGCAGAAGAAATAGTCTGCATCTTCTTTGCCTCCTTTCTTTTAGCTCTGTTTTCATGCAATTCATTCTGATCTCCCTCGCTGACTCTACATTCATTGCAACTGCCAGATTTGTCCTCTTTGTTACTTTCGGCAGGCTTGTAAATCGGTCCGATAAATTCTTTGCTTGTAAAAAACTCTTCATTTGAGGCATTTCTATTTACTGAGAATGATGTACTGCTATTTTCAGTATTATCTTCACCAGCATTATTTGTAATGAAAGGGCCTTTCTTTTCTTCAACTTTAGTGTCATTTATCAATGCACATGGAAGATACACATTCTGCACAGTTTGTGAATCAACTGACTGACTAAGCACCAGATTATTTTCAGGGAGCACTTCCTTCAGTGTTCCCAAGACATCAGTAGGTATTTTCTCTTGCTTCTGCGTTTCATGTTGCCCTTGGTTATATGAGGCATACGCTGGTATCAAATCATTTGATGTTCTCTCAGTGTCTACTTCCTCCTGAATACCTTGGTTATCATCGTCACAGAGCTGCTTGTAAGCCTCTTCTATTGACTTCATTTTTTTAGAACATGGTTCAATTGTGATTTCATCCTGACACTCCAAGAGCCTTACTCTACTTTCAGCATGAAGCATCTTCAAAAAAAATTAACACATTATCAGCATGCACATTTTTAAAGTAAAGTCTAAAAAAGCAGAAGTTACTTAGGCCTATAATATGCATCCTCAGACCCTTCACGGTCAAATAAAATGTACTTAACCAGAAGAAAAGCGGACATCACTTACCACAAGTATCGTTTAAACAAAATCGCCACATTATCGCACATCTTTAGCAAAGAACCACGTTAGTGCTGTACCAGCCTAGCAGTCACATTTTATGATATACCTTAAATAATTTGCAAATCACGCTTTTTAAATGTGAATATTTGAAAAACAAATTACATCAAGAACCTCTGTTTTCTACTGACCTATGTTAATCCGCCAAGTGTTATAAATCTCTTTTACAAGATAAACATGTGCCAATTTCCAATGCACAAACCGATGCCTGACATCGCTACTAGCATGACCAACAAAAATGCAAATACTTCAATCACAAGGATTATTTTCTGTAACACGAACTGAACTCTACTAATTCATTTAACACCAATTAAACAGGTGCTGGATGGCATTTATAATTTGGTACTAGTCAAATAAGACTTAAAATTAAATCTGCAATCTGTTATTATATTTCTGGTTTTGGAACAACTAAATACTTTTGTTAGGGACCAAGACCACTCGGTTGCATGTAAAAATAAGCACCAAAAAAGCAATCCCAACCCCAAACAGAACGCATCCTAAGAATGAGCCAATAAATTCCAGAAAGATTCAGAAATGAGAGAAATTAAAAACGAGGCAAGATGGCACTGACCACCGTGACACGCAGTCATGCCATTATCCATCTAACTATTAGTTAGAATTACTTGGATTTTCCTTTCTATTCCAGAGGTCTAGACAGAATGCAATAAAAAGCAACAGTCATTTTGTTATAAATCAGGTGTCAAGTAGTTTATTCAGCAAATTCCCCCCCCCAAAGAACAAATGCAGTACCTAACAAGAAAGAAAGTATTTTTCCTACTAGAGGGTTCATTCTACTTCTTTCTGTGAACATTTCAACTTTCTAGGAGTAAATATTAATAAAGTGTCATATCCTCTTCATTCTGGACAAGAAATGAAGGTTTTTTTCTTTATCTGAAAAGGATCTGTAGGTTGCGTTAAGGGAAAATTTGTAAGTAACATGTATCATCTCATGTTCACTTGCAAAACTGAGAAGAAAAGGTGTGGTACTTTCTCACCTATGATCCAAAGGAAGAGAATTCTGCCATCCTCAGTCTCAAAGAGTCTAAACCAAGGAGATTTTACTGTTTGCATTTGAGTTTACTACTTGGAAGACAGCACTAATGTCAGAAGGGTGAGAAACATGGCCATGCAACTATCCCTCTTCCTCAGAATTGGTGAAACGACGTTGTGGTTACTATGGTCTCTCCACCTGTCCAGATATAGCCAATTTATGCATACCCCCAACTTCTCAATACCTCCTTTTTGTAAATTAGACAGCAAGCGTGCCATATGAATTGTGGACTGTATCCCCCCATCTATCAAAAACGTAACTCTACCTCCACTCAGAAACAGGATTGGGAAAAAGAAGTTCCTTTATTAGCTTCTATGTCCTCATCTGTTTTCTGGGATGGTGTTTAAGCAGAGCCCGTATTCTGATGTGGAATGAAAGCAGAGAGCATGTGAACACTTGCTGCATGACAATACCTCTAGCGATGGAGAATGCTGCTCTGCGACTGTCCCACACAGGAATACCCTTTCTTGCTGATCTTTAACAGACTCTGACTATCCTGTGGGACAGTGGAGTTGCATGCGAAAGCATCTTCACTCCCATTTTTGGGGAGGACAGAGCAAGTATGTACTGAGAAAGCACAATTTACATGACAGTCTTGTCTCTGGAACAGGATAGGCATAGGTCTGTCGCATTTCTGTAAAGAGCTGGCTATAGGCATTGAACCTGAGCTGGCATACGTGATTCAGGAGGCTGGCGCTTGCAACGCTCCATTACCACTTTAACTAACCTGCCAAACATCCAGAAGACTCAACCAAGGAACTCAAGGCCTTAAGCTCCACCTGTACAATACATTTCCAAATGGAAAAAGAAGGAATATGTGGCAGAACTTACAGGTGGGGGGAACTGATTGGCTTTGCTTGCGTGACCACCTCTTTCTGGGTAGGGAGGTGACAAAGCACACAGGCCAGC